CACTGGCAGCTGCGGAGCCTGAGATCAGGAGGTCACCAGTTGGCGGGAGGGTGTGGGGCCAAGGCCTCTGGCCTCTGCCAGGACAGCTTCGTGAAAAAAGCAAGGCAATGAGATCCTGGCCTCAGAGATGCAGTGTAGAACCAGAGAGGAAGGCAGTAGGGGCCCACACACCGGGAGATCTCGGAGGGTCACAGGTTTCCCTGCTCTTCCTGGTAATCCTGACCTTGACCCGGGAGAAACAAGAAGCAGGCCAGGGCTGCATCTTCTAGCGAACTCTGGATCCACACTCTGAGGTGGTCAGTGCCCTGGGGGTCTCCCAGCCTGGGAAGACTCACCAGGCCCTGGTGTGGGGAGGAGAGGGTACAGCAAGAGTGGCGCTGAGCCGCTTGAATCCATGTCACTGCCGACTCACTTTGGGGAAGGAACAGATGTGCCCGAGTTCATGGCAGTGCTATCATACGCAAGGGTGTGACCGTTGCAGCCGCCCCTGCCCTCCCTGGCTCTGTCCCTCCTAGGAGTGGCTGGGAAGGGCACCCTGCAAGCCAAGCAGCCCCGCTCCTTCCTACTCCCTGTGAGCCGTGCTCCCCACGGCCCACAGCTGCCTCCCTCACCACTGGCTGGGGCCACACTGGCACTCAGGGTGGCGATGTCTCCTCCTCAGGTGCTGGGTGACAGGAAGGAAAGAGATACCTGCCGGGGAGTGGCAAAAGCTAACTGGTGGCTGCTGAGTTGGTGTGGAGAGACCGAGGCCCTCATCCTCAGCAAGCTCGCATTGTCAAGGGACTTCCGGACAGACAGTTCTCTCCTCTCCTCTTTTGGCCCTGGCAGTGCTGAGATGTCCTCTGTCACCAGATGGGACATCAGAGGAAGTGGGATCCAAAGGCCCCTGCTAGGGAGAAGATGCTGTGTTTTACCCACTGAACCACAGTTTCTTGTAACTTGAATCAGAACACCACACTCGGCCACAGCTCCAGAGGAGAGCAACAAAGGAGTCCTTCTTGTGTGCCACAAGCCACTTGAAGCTTCTCGAGGTCAGGCTAGATTCTCTGCAGGACTCCGGGACCACCCCGGAGGCTCCCCTGACCCTTTGTCGTCCCCATAGGGGGAAAAGTATTTCTACTTAGGTCTCTCATCGGGAGGCCTAGGGACCTGCATTCTATGGACATCCTCTACCATAACCTAAACCTCTTTTGCTTTAAGTGACAAAAGGTCAAGACTTAGCACAGCAACGTGGGCAAAAATAACCCTCTGAGGTCCCGGGGATGCACCACTAGCTCTAGAAACAAAAAACAGTTGGCCTGGACACCCTCTTAGATAAGCAGGAAGGCAGCAGCTCTGCTGTGTGCCAAGGAGCCCTCTCAGTCCTGCTCCACAGAGATCCTAGGCCGAAGGACTCTGGGCTCCTTCTCCTTTTAAGGCAACGTCTGAGCTCTCAGGCTGCTCGAGCCGCAGCAAGCCCCAGCCGCACTCATTCCTGGCTATTTGGAGGAAACTGATGATTAATCAGCCCTCTCCCCACCCCCACCCGGCCTGTTTTTCATTAAGTTCTTTTTAAAGGGTTGGCGCACCTCCTGGAGAACAGACACTTGGCAGACCCCCCGCCAACCAGGACCCCAGGGGAGGAGAGGGCCCAACGGAGCACTCCAGGAGAAGGACAAAGGGCAGTCAGGACATGGGGCATCGGGCACAGAGAGGGTTAAGATGTGGGAAGCAAGTCTTGTTTGTGGAGGAGAGGAAGATTCTGAAGAAGGCTGGCCAGGGAAGGAGGCCGGCATGGGCAGCAGGGGCACAGGGCACCTCAGGATGCAAGGCAGGCAGGGAGCGCAGGCGCAGTCCTGGTGGGGAGGGTCAGGAACAGTTCCGCTGACTTGGAGGCCGCTAGTGAGACAACCAGGCCTGAGCCCCAGTTTGCCCTGAACCCGCTGGGTACAGCTGGTTGTCATCCCTCTGGGTCTCTACCCTCCCTCGAAGTGCTACGGGCACTGAGAAATCCTGGCCGGGCACTTTTGGGGAAGGGAGAGACGGGAGGGCAGGGGTCTGCCCTGGGGGCTGGGAGAGTTCACTCAGCACTCTCCTCCAGGCGCCACAGTGACAGGGTCCATGACAAAGCTGCTTTGGCTGTGGCAGGACGGGAGGAGAGGGGATTGCCTGGCAAAGCTGTGCAGGTCATCGTAAAAATGTCCTAAAGGAAGCCCTCTTCCTCATTTACGTTCTATTTATGTGCAGTAAAGTCACCACTGTCTGCTCCGCGGTGAATTGTGGGGCCATATCCGGTTGTCTGGAAGGCAGAGTGAGTGGAGGGCTCCCTGCACCTGCTCCGTCGCCACAGCCCCAGTGAGGTCCCCGGCACGGCTCTACACTCGGGGCAGGGGCCCTTCAAGGCGCTGCCACAGGGCCTGGCCCTTGGCTGCCCACTGTGATGCTAGCAGGAGTCCAGGCCTTGGTTGCTCCCCAGTGGACATGTTCAGGCTGCAGGTATATACCGTCCCCATGCGACCAAGCCTGCCCTCCGGTCCCTCAGGAGGGTGGGAGCAAGGAGGAGCCTTGTGGGCCAGAGTGCTGTGGAGTTCTGCTTTTCCTTCCTTCCATCCCCTCTTCCCACACCCACTGGGCACTACCCACCAGCCCACGGAGCCCTGAGCTACAGCCCTATCCCTTTTTATTACTTGACTTTTGAGACAGGTCTCCCTAAGTTACCCAGGCTGGCCTTGAACTTGCATCCTGCTCTCTCAGTCCCCTGAGTAACTGGCATTACAGGCATGTGTCAGCAGGTCCAGCTCCATGGGGCACTGTTGGTTTTTCTGTTTTGTTTTGTTTTTTTGAGACTGGGTCTCATCTTGTACCTCAGCCTCCTGAGAGCTGGGATTACAGGCTCCACTGGGACCTTTTGAAAGACAGAAATCCTTCCAATATTCAAATCATGGTCTCTGTCTGTTAAAACGCCTCTAGAGGAGGATTTAACAGCATCCCTTGGGATGCTGGATACGCTGGGTCCCCCTTCCCAGCGGGATGGCTAAACCTAGTATCATATCATGGACCAGCTGCTGCTTTTTGTGCTCCTGGGGTGGGGATAGAAGCAAATCTTTTTGAAATAACTTGGACTTAGCGGGGCATGATCGCACATACCTATAATCCCAGCACTTGAGAGGCTGAGGCGGGAGGATCACTGTGAGTTCAACCTGGTCTGAGGCCAACCTGGTCTACACTGAGTTCAAGGCCAGCCTGTAGACCTTGTCTCAAAAAACAAAAAACAAACAAAATAGCTGAGGCCTGACGTGACTCTGTAGAAGAAGACATAGAGGAGCCACATGTTGGTGCCAGGTGGCCTGTGCTGTGAAGAAGATTCGAGCGTCTGTTGTGCTCAGCGGTCTCCGTCCCACACCTCCCAGGGCTGTGTCACGGCGTCTTGCGTGATCCAAGTGCAGCCACGGAATCCTCTTCTCCAAATGTGAAGAGTACCCCTGAGATCACAGACCCAGCTGATCCCAGGGCTCCCCAAACAGGCAGAGGGATGTCCTTCGCAAAACTTTTACTAAAAATTAAAAACTAGGACTGGCAGTGTAGCTTAGTGACGAAGCAATTGCCCAGCACTCATGAGGCCCTGGGTTTGAGCTCCAGCACTGGAAAGCAAAGGAAAAAGGAAAGACAACACGGTAAACTTTTCAAGAGAGGCACATGTTTAATGCGTTCATTCTGCTACCTCTTTATAGTTAGCTCCTTCTTTCAACGAGAAGGGGATGGTGGATAGAATTTATAAATAGCCTTAACCAGTAAAAATGTCAGCATCACTATCTTGATCTCTTCAATGTTTATTTTCCTCTGCAATTGTTTCACTTACCAAACCCCAAGCCGGGGATGTAGCTCAGGTGCAAAAGCGCCTGCCTGGCAAGCGCAAGGTCCTGAGTTTGATTCCCGGTACCAAAAAATAAATAAATAAAATAACAAAATCAATTTTATGGGGCTGAGGATTTAGCTCAGCAGCACAGCACCTGCCCAGCAAGCACAAGGTCGTGAGTTCGATTCCCAGTACTGGAAACAACAACAACAACAAACAAACTCCAGTATCTAGGACCCCCTAACACCCCCGTGGCAGCAGGCCCAGGTTAGGGTGAAGGGTGAGGCACTCACCTTGAGCTCAAATGCCCCCTGGAGGTGCTCTGTGGGTATATTTTAACATATATATATTTTTTTCTTTAGTACTAGGGATTGGACCTAGAGCCTTCACACTGAGCTACACCTTCAATTCTTTTATTTTGAGACAGAATCTCACTAAGCTGTTAAATTTCCCAGGCTGGCCTTGAGTTTGTGATCTTCCTGCCTCAACCTCCATATGTGCTGGGGTTACAGGTATAAGCCACCATTAGTGTATATTTTTTTTAAATAAAAATTCATTTTAAAAAATCCACAATGACTGACAATTCAACACTAGGTGGCGGTGCACAACCTGGTTCCAGTATTCTGGGAGGCTGAATCAGGATAGCAAATTCAAGGTTATGCTGAGCAATTTAGTTACCTGGCTAGCAAGACCCTGTCTCAAAGGAAAAAAAGTCTGGGAATATAGCTCAGTGCAAAAGCCCTGTGCTCAATCCTCCACTTAACCTTACAGACAGGATCAACTTTAGCGAGTCTCCACCTGCCTCAGGTTTCAAATATTCATGCAAGCCCCGTGGAAAGCAGCCCTCTAAAGTCACCCGTCATGGGGAAGGACAGCTGTGGGTCTGAGAATGCTCTGGGAAGGGGACTGGGCTTTGTGCAAACCTCTGCATCCTCTATCTGCGTGGCCTTGCCATCCCACGGCCCTGAGGCCCCGTGTGAGTCTGATGTCAGCTGGTTCTCTGCACTGGGAACCCAATTCCCCTGCAGCTGTCCTCTCTCTCCAGCACCAGCTTCCTCCTGAGGCTCCAGGGCGGTTACGTAAGTGCTCCCCAGCTTGTCTCATAGTCGTCCCTCTCCTCCTGAAGCCAACTCTTCATGTTTATTTTTCTTCTCTGAATTCTTAGGAAAGCAAGCAAGTGGAGACCCAGGCAGATGCCAAAAACGGAGAGGAAAGGGGCAGAGATGCCAGCAAAAAAGCGCTGAGCCCCAGACAGGATTCAGACCCGGCCAAGGAGCCCAAGAGGGGAAATTTAAAGAAAAGCTTCTCCAAAGACAGAGAGGAAGCCGATGGCAGACGCGGGGAGAAGCCCAGGGAAGAGAAGGTCATCAGGGGCATCGACAAGGGCAGGGTCAGGGCCGCAGTGGACAAGAAGGAGGCAGGGAAGGATGGGAGAGGAGAGGAGAAGACAGCAGCCACCAGGAAGGAAGAGGAGAAGAAAGGGAGTGACAGGAACGCAAGCGGGAGTAGGGACAAGGATAAGAGCAGAGAGGAAGTGGTCAAGAAGGAGGACGCAGAGGTGAGAAGGGACAGCAGGAGCACAGCCACCACCAGGAGAGAGGAGGAGCGCATGAAAAGGGCGGGTGGAGACACCGACAGGAAAAAGGAGGCTGAGGGGACAAAAAGAGGAACTGGGGACAGAGACACAAAAAAGCAGGAGGAAAAAGTCAAGAAGGAGGAGTCCCGGAGTGAAAAGGAAGCCAAGGAAGAGAGTAAGACCAAGACAGTAGAAAAGCAAGCACCCGGGGCCGCCGGCCAGGCCACAGAGGCGCAGGCCAAGGCGGAGGAGGAGGCGGCTCCCAGCATTTTTGACGAACCTCTGGAGAGGGTGAAGAACAATGACCCGGAGATGACCGAGGTGAACGTCAACAACTCAGACTGTATCACTAATGAGATCCTGGTCCGGTTCACTGAGGCTCTGGAGTTCAACACGGTGGTCAAGGTGTTCGCCTTGGCCAACACCCGAGCTGATGATCACGTGGCCTTCGCTATTGCCATCATGCTCAAGGCCAACAAGACCATCACCAGCCTCAACCTGGACTCCAACCACATCACGGGCAAGGGCATCCTGGCCATCTTCCGGGCCCTCCTCCAGAACAACACGCTGACTGAGCTGCGCTTCCACAACCAGCGGCACATCTGTGGGGGCAAGACTGAGATGGAGATCGCCAAGCTGCTCAAAGAGAATACCACGCTGCTCAAGCTGGGCTACCATTTTGAGCTGGCTGGGCCCCGGATGACGGTCACCAACTTGCTCAGCCGCAACATGGACAAGCAGCGACAGAAGCGGCTGCAGGAGCAAAGGCAGGCCCAGGAAGCCAGCGGAGAGAAGAAGAAGGAGCTGCTGGAGGTGCCCAAGGTCGGAGCTCTGGCCAAGGGCTCCTCCAAACCTTCACCCCAGCCATCTCCAAAGCCTGCTCCAAAGAACTCGCCCAAGAAAGGGGGTGCTCCTGCTGCCCCACCCCCTCCTCCCCCTCCACTGGCTCCTCCCCTTATCATGGAGAACCTGAAGAATTCACTCTCCCCCGCCACCCAGAGGAAGATGGGGGACAAAGTCCTCCCTGCCCAGGAGAAGAACTCACGTGACCAGCTTCTGGCAGCCATCCGCTCCAGCAACCTCAAGCAGCTGAAGAAGGCAAGTGGTGTGGGCACAGCCACAAGGCCAGGGGCCAGGGCTTAGAGGAGAGGCAGCTGCGAGGACACACACACACACACACACACACACACACGCACGCACGCACGCACGCATGCACACACATGCAGAGGTGCTCACGTCAGGTGCATTCCCAGGGCCCTTCAGGTCATCTCAGCCAGGCCCTGTCTCCAGACAGGTCACAGCTGGCCTTAGAGGCCAGACTCCATGCTTCCTTCATGGAATTTCCTTCTGTGTCTCACTCTGCACTTCGCCCTCTGCTGCTGCAGTCAGGGCCGCAGTCCGGGCTGCTTCTCCCGCAGATGGAGAGACAGATTCTCCATATAGTGCAGCAGTGGGCCCTTCCTGTAAGTCCTCTTTGCCAAAGATGATTGTGGCTTTACTTAACCACCTCTCGAGACCAGCCTGGTCCTACAGGTCAGTCTATCCCAAAGGCGCCTCCCTCACCCTGGACAGCCTTTGACTGACCAGTGCCATGGATGCCTAGGCCATCCCCAGATACCCTACTTGTCCAGCCCTGGCTCCCTGGAAGTCCCCCCTGCTGACAGAATCCATATTTATTTATTTATTTATTATCCCATCTGACTGGACACCCTATCCCTTCAACATCAGCTGTGACTAGGCATCATGAGATAAAGGACAGCCTCCATTATAATTCCAGTGGCCTGGCTGGGTGTGGTGGAGCACACCTGTAACTTCAGCACTTAGGAGGCTGAGGCAGGAGAATCTTTTCAAGTTCAAGACCGGCCTGGGCTACAAAGTGAGCTCAAGTCCAGACTGAACTGCATAGTGAGACCCTGTCTCCAAAAAAAAAAGAAATTATATAATTCCAGTGGCCTTCAGTGACAGCTACCTTTTACAGAAGGTGTCAACACCTCAAGCATTCATCCCGTGGACATACGCTGAGGTGTCTGGAGTATTGTCCTTCCAGAAGGGAGGGAAGTAAGAGGAATTCCAGAGGCCTCTGGGCAACCCCTCCTGCTCTTACCATCTCTGCTTTGCCCTACAGGTGGAGGTGCCCAAGCTGCTTCAGTAGGACCAGGCTGCCAGGCTCTGGTACCAAGGCCGTGACTGCCCAGACTCGCACCCCAGGGCTGCACTGACCCCGCCCACCCGGCCCTGGCTGACCCCCCATGGCCGCGCTATTCAGCTGTGGGAGCGCGCGAGGCCTGGGGCACGCTCGAGGCAGGACGCCTCACCTCTTCTCGCTTCCCTTTTCTTGTCTCTGAGGCTCTCTAAGCATTGCTTTGACGCCTGGAGCTGAGGTTTCTGGACAAGAAGAGTCCTCCTAGCACATCACAGAGAAGATGGCACTGCATGCAGCCCATGGGGCTGGCACACTGCAAAAGGCCTGCGATCCAGGAAAGATGTCTTCCAGGGACCATGTATCCAACCCAGCCCCACTGCCCTCTGGGGCCAGGATCCAGGTCTCTGAGGAGCCCTTGGGGCAGAGCTGCTGGGCTGGTGGCACTCTGTGGGCAATGGCAGAGGGAACGAGGGCATGGGGGCCCACCAGAGGCAGATGGCCTGGACAGACAGCGCATGCTGGGGAGTGGGCTCCAGACAGGAGGAGATGGACAGACAGCAGCTGGACCTGAAGGTTTGATGCCAAAGCAGACATTTTCCTCACACCCACCTGCGGTTGTATAAATAGCTGTGTATCTGTTTTTCCATAAGATTTTGATAATATATACAACCTTTAGCCGCAAGTAACTGTGCCTGTCCTCTGTCATGGACTGAGGGTACTGATGCTCACCCTGGGCTCCCTGGAAGGCTCTAGAAGCTCTTATTCCCTGCCTCACCATTTGAGTTGACCATGACATCAGTCCACCTCTGCAGAAAGGCAGTGTGGGGAAAGCTTGGGCCCTGAGCAGAGGAACCCCTGACCTGGCTGGCTGTGTCTGCTCTTGAACGAGGCTTGCTGCCTGGAGCCAGTGTCCAGCACTGTTTGCAGGGGGACAGGGCAGAGTGCAGCACAGAGCTGGGATGGCTATATTAGGCCTGTTCAGGGGAGGCTCATTCCATGACTTTTCCTAACTGTGGGCTCAGGGCCAGCTCCCCACAGCAGTTACAGGCCAGGGAAGGCAGCTGGCAAAGAAGTGGGGTGACCGTGTGGAGAGCAGCACCCAGCCCATGTGCCCTTAGACCTGGAGGTGCTGCCCTCCTCCCCTAACAATGCCCTAATGTCTGTCACTGGCATACATCAAAGACATCAGTCAAGCCAGTCGTGGTGGCACACACCTGTAATCCTAACACTCTGGAAGGCTGAAGCAGGAGGATCACAAGTTTGATCCCAGTCTGGGCAACTTAGTGATTCAGAGAGACTCCTCATATCTCAAAGTGAAAAATAAAAAAGGACTGGGGATGTATTTTCACAGTAGAGTGCCCCTGGGATCAGTCCCCAGTACCAAGAGGACCAAAATGGAGAGAGAGAGGGAGGGGGAGGAAGAGAGGGAGGGAGGGAAGGAGGGAGAGAGAAAACAAAAACTCCAGAACTTCCAGGCTCGGAGTATAGCTCAGTGATAGAACACACACTTTGGTCGTGGGAGGTCCTGACTTTGATCGCCAGCACTGCCAACACAACAAAAACATCTTTTTCATTTTTACTGGCTTGAATGTGCTGGCACCTGCTGGCACTGTGAATCTGCCCACCGTGGGTCTGGGTCACTTTTAGATTTTTTTTTTTTTTTTTTGCCTCAGTAGCAAAGGGCACAAGAGTTTTAAGGGCTCTGGGGCTGCAGGGTGCTGCAAGCAAGCGGGAGAGCTGTGCTGGGCGTGGCCAAAGTCAGAGGGAGGCTAGTGCTGGCGGGAAAGGCTCAGACCCCAGGGTCCACCTTGTCCCCATTCCCCTCCGCCCGCTTTCCTGTCGCCTTGAGCAATGGCTGAGCCCAGGAGAAGGCTGACAGACTCTTGTCAGCTCCCATCCCTGGAGAGTGTGAGCTGGACCCAAGCCCAGCTAGTGCGTCCACTCACCCTGTCTGGGGGTCTGGGGCGAGCCACATGCCCTCGGGTGCTTCCCATTCTGAGAAGGGGATACAATAATCGCTCCATTTGGGAGATAAAGTTCGGACCAGAGAGGTTAACTAACCGTCCACGATCGCACAGCTAATAAAAAGCAGAGCTCAAGTCTTCAGCTCCTAAGGCTGTTTGTAAGATTCTCCATCCAGCACCAAAATGAAAGAGTGATGAAAAGAAAAACAGCCTAACAGAACCAAATAATGTATCTCCAGATATTAAGGGTCCAGCAGAATCTGTTACCTTAGGATTCTTTCTACTACATTTAAAACACCATTTAGGACAAACCCACGGCCGCTGGGTGCCTCTCCGCGCCTGGGGGAGTCCGTCCGCGCCTGGAGCGACCCAATCCTTCCCCCGGCGCGCGGAGCCCGGCGCGGGAGCACAGCGCCACCTGGGGGCAGACGGCGTCCCAGAGCCTCCCCGGCTGGACCCGGACGCGGAAAGCGGCGGGGCGCCGGGAGGAGACGGCCGAGCCGCCCCGTGCCCGCTCCGCCCACCGGGTTATGTGGGGGCGCTGCTCGCGGCTTCGCGAGCCAGTGGAGAGCGCTAGAGAAGTGGGGACCCGCGGAGCTGCGCAGAAGGGGCGCGTTTCTGCCCCGCGCGCGGGCACCGCCACCCGCCTGCCCCCCACGGACAGTCACCTGTCTGTCCCCTTCTTGTCCTAAAACCCGGGAGCGTCCTGTTTTACAGGGGAAAATATGTGGTTTGACGAACGCAAATGACTTGTCCAAACTGATGAATCCAGTCGCAAACCCAGGTCTGCGGACAACCGGTCCCATCCCGTGGCCCACGGACGCGGGAGAAGCGACGCCGGACTCGGTGGCTGTGCCCCCAGTCCCCGGACACCCCGCGCCGCCGTCACCGTCGCTGACTAGGGGGTGCATTGCGCGGGTCCCTCCCGGCTCCTTTCCCCGTTCCCGCCTTCTCTCCTCACCTTCCCCTCCACCCCGCCCTCCCCGTGACCCGTAGGCCAGAGGGCCTGGCGCTGGTCGTGGGCAGACACCGGACACTGTTGAGGTGCTCGCCCGACTTGGAGTCACCGGGGCTCAGCGAGCCAGGGGACAATGGAGGGGCTGCAGGTGTAGGCGCCTTGTCCGAACCTCCCCACACACGTGGCTCTTTTTAAGAAACAAGATTACTGGTGGCGCACGCCTGTAATCCCAGCACTCAGGAGGCTGAAGCAGGAGAATTGCTGTGAGTTCGAGGTCAGCCTGGGCTACATGGCGAGTTCAAAGCCAGCCTGAGCTACATCGTGAAATCCTGTCTCAAACAAAGAAAATAGGATTTGGACAAAGGTCAGGCATGAGCATGCTTCTGCAAGATCAAGATCGCCGGTCACCTCACATGCAAACATCCCTACCCCCACTCTGCCCTCGACCTCCGAGGTCAGCCTGAAAGTCAGAGCCTGAGAGGCCTCCATCCTCTCCCACCCACTCTCTAGCCCCTCCCCTGCACCCCATCAGGCTCTTCCTTCCTTCCTGCTGGAAGTCTGCTTTCCAAGGGCTCCCCGCTGTTCCCTTGCTGGTCCTCTTTCACCCTCTCTCCTCATCTCTTTTTGGTACCAGGAATGGAACTGTTCTCTCCTTTCTTTCTAACCTTTCCAGAGTCCCCCATTACATTGCCATGTGTCCTGGCCCTAGTTGTCCCTGCCCTGAGCCCCGACTGTCCTCCTTGGAGCTAGCTCTGCCTCCCTCACCATCCTGAGTAGGCCCATGGGTTTTGTTTTTGTTATTTTTGGTGGTGCAGAGGATGGAACCCAAGGCCATAAGTCCTGGCTTCTGTATGAAACTGCTCTTCTCCATCCAGGTCTCCTGCCTGCTCCCACTGCAACTTCCCTTCCAACCTAGCAGCACCAACCTGTTTACGCCACTGGGCTCCCTGAGGCCTTGAGCGCCAAGGCCTCTCCACCCCAGCCCTCCAGGCTTTTGGGGCTGCCTCGTTGTTTTTCAGGGGTGAAGAACTAGGGGATGGGAAGGGGCAGCTACAGCTCCAGGCTCCACCCAGCCCTGCCAGGCTCTCCTATCCCTTGATAATGAGCCCCAGAACCGGTGACAGAGGTCACGGTGCTTTAGGAGAGACGGCACACTTGCCTAATTTAAAGAGCCCCGGCACGTGCCAGGATGCCCCTTTCTGCTCAGAATATGCAAAAGCCCCACTGCTAGGACCTGCCGCCCTCCGCACCCAGAAATATCTTCAGTGATTTGCAGAGTCAACTAGAAACCAGGGCAGCTCTGGCTGTGGTAAACCTGCCTCCTACCCTAGACTACAAAGCAACTCGTCATTGCCTACAGCTTCTTGATTCGAGGATAGTTAATTCTGACCACCAGGCCCTTCCATATACACATCGTTTCTCAGGGAAGCACAGAAACCTCACCCTGCTTGTCTTGTCTCTGCCAGCTTCAGAGGAGCCAGGAGGCTGGGCTCCAGAGCTCCACGACCCGGTGACCCTCCCCACTGAAATGTGAGGGCAGAACCACTCAGTGGCCCCAGGTCCCAGCGTTGCCCTTGCACTCAAAGAGAAAGCAGATTCGCAACTGTGGTCCCAGCCCCTGCCCCAGCGTCAGTTGCCCCTTCCCATCTGGGTCAGGTCCAGGGGCAAATTAGGAGGCAGAAGTGGTGAATCTGGGGGCAGACCTTCACCAATGAGTCTCTGGCCCTGGCCCCAAAGCACAGGCCTGGAGCTCTTGCTTTCTGAGTGGTGTAACCCCAGAGAATGTGGGTGGCAGTTCCCCATGAGCTGAGGACATGGTCAGCACAGTGGTCCTTTCCAGAGCCCAGCTGGGCTGCAGGAACCTGGGGCCCAAGGAAGAAGCCTGAGGGACAGGGCAGGAGCTCAAGGGGACCCAAAGGCAGGGAGAAGGGGCAGGCCAAGGGGCAGGTGGAGAAAGGGGGTACACTGGGCAGGGAGGGCTTCGCCAAGCTGAGCTGGTACTTCTTCCACTTAAATTACAAACTATAATACTGGGCTGGAGGTGTAGCTCAGTAGTAGAGCACTTGCCTAGCATCTACAAGGCCTTGGGTTTTGATTCCAGCACTGCAGAAAAAAATTGAAACTACAAAACTCCCTTCTCTGATCTGTCCTCAGGCAAGTCTGGAAAGCACAGGGACTTGACCTCAATGGACCTGGGGAGGACAGATGGCGGGAGAGCTCCAGATGCCTACCCACTCCCGGATGGTCTCTTCCCCTCAGCCTGCATGGGGCGGAAGGGGAGATAAGGTTATTTTCTCCACGGTCTGGCTCGGCGGGGGACCCTAGTATGGCCTGGAGGACCTGATATCAAGGTTCCTGACAACCACACAGTTGACAGAAGTACCTGACACCCGTTTCTTGGCTGACCCTGTCACTCTACTTGACTCCTGGTCCTAGGACCTGTGACGGGGAGGACAGAACTTCCAGTTTCATCACACATTGTCTCACCCTCATGACAGCTGTGAGGTATTATCCCTGTCCTGAAGGGGAGGACACTACAGAGTGGAGACCTTCAGAGACAATCAAAGTCCAAGAATGATGGGGACAGGTTTGAATCTAAGTGGACCTGAATGCGGGAGGTGCCTCAGATGTCCAAGAGGCCTGACGCTGAGCAGGGGGCTCTGTAATGTCAGTGAGCACCCTTTTCCAAGTGCCACAAAACCCACCTCGTTAGCCTTGAGAACCAGCCCAAGGTCTCCTCCACCTGGGACGGGACCAAGG